CAGCAAGGCCCAACAGTCCCCTTATGAAACCACATTTAAATTCACTGGACTCATAGTTTTATTTGGATCTGCATCAAATTGCACACACTTATAAATGTCAGTCCATTAAATGTGCCTGATTTGTGTTTTTTGAGGGGGGGATCTATCTCACAATATTAAAGAAAGTGAAAGGAATCCATGGATCTGCACCCAAAGTTAATGGATTCTTCTCTGACCCATAACACATCCTTCCACCAAGTGATATGGTAATCTGTTCAGTAGTTGGTGTGTAATCCTGTTAACAGACAAACAAATGCAGATAAAAACATAACCTCCTTGGGTGGTGGTAAAGGGATCTGCTCTAAAGGCAAAACATATTAGGAATTGATCTCTTAAGTATCACATCATCATTAAATCTAAAAGCAATAAGATGTCTTGTTTTGTGTTTTGATGCTAGTTTCAGTACATTTAAAAAGTTATCCATCCCATGTATGTTACATCATATTCTGGAAGAGTGGGGCAAAAAGTTGCTTCTACTTTATCTCCAAAACGTATGTCTCTGAATCCTGATTACCAACATGTTTCCTGTTTATCCCTGATCAAAAAAAGCCCTGTGGGATTTTAACTACCTCTTTAGAGTAGTGGTAATGGTAGGCTGATAAAATGATAACAATTCAATTGATTGATTGATTGATTAATTATAATGGATGTGAATGGAAAACATCCCAAAATGACATTTGAAAAGCAGCTCCTCATCAGAAATCATGCTTATGTGGCAGCAAGAACCTCAGTAATTAAAGTTTTAAAATCTGAGTGAAATTACCCTTTATGATACAAGGACACGTTATAACCTGTCTATGTACTTCACATGTGTAAGAATATTTCAACTTAAAATAAAAACATTACAGCACATACAAATATCATGCAGCTGATTCACACACAATAGATCTTAACCGGCTGTGTCCCTGTATCGGACCGGTCCGGTTCAGGACAGGTGAGACAAAGGAGGTGCAGTTTTCAGCTCCACCATTAGGAGGCAGTAGTTATCAAATTGTCACAGGGACTTTATCACACAGTGAGATCAACACCAGCCGAGCAGGAGAAACTTGTCACCCTGTCTAAGGCTGATTCACCGTCACTCCCCCATAGTTTGTCTGACTCAGTTGACCCCGAGGCCTCCCCTGCTCGTCCTTCTTTAACCTCTCACCAGGTTGTAATACACCCTGTTCAGGTTCACTTTGTTTGTTTACACCACAGCCAGACGAGCATTATCTCCATAACAAGATCTGCAAACATCCTCATGTGTAAATACCCCTGAGGGGAAAAGTTTGTGTGGCTGTGATAGAACTCACTCATATATTGTTGGTGTAAATTAAGTTTAGGTACATTTCGGTTTACAGGTTACTTTATTGTTCTGATTTATCTCTACTTAACTTGAAATGTTTACATTTTATGACTTTTATTACTTTGAGCATACTTTAATAAAAATCCATGTGTATTTTTACTTCAGCAGGAAGTCCAGGACTGAATAACTCCTCTCACTATGTCAGTGAAGTTTTCTCTGACTCGAGAAAGTTCCCTTTAGTGTCACAAAAGAGATGCCAACAGTTTATCTGTGGCTGATCAATACGAACCAAGACGTGTTGACTGATCCCCTGAATTAAATGCTCTAAATATACACTTCCACTGGATATGAGGCACTAGAGCATGTTTTCTCTTTGTGAAGAGACAGATTTCATTTATGGGATGGAAATGACACCGTATTTGGACACAGAGGTTAGTCAGGTGCAGGTGTGAGGTGCAGGTGTAAATGCTGCCACAAGGCTTGTGCTATTAATATGAAGAGTTTTATTTTTGAATGTGGGATATTTCAGTGTGAGACGACCCTCGCTGTGGCCCTCTAGGACAGGAGTTGTCCACCTCACGGTGAAAGGAAAGTGCTCAGTGGGGGATTGGGAGCGTAATTACAGCGGTTTTGCCTCATTAGGACTGATGGGGGGGGGGGGTGACCCTGCCTACAGGTCTGAACCACTCGGGTCCTGCTGGTGCTGAGAAATGATCTGTTCTTGGTGTGTGTGTGTGTGTGTGTGCCCTGCAGTATTTTCTAATATTTGAAGATAAAAATCTAATATAATTTTATAATGATATATCTAATGTGAGAATATTATTAAGGATCATTAATGTTTAATGAATTTTATACGCCACCAACATAAATCTGACCGTTATGATGATAAACTGTAAGAAGAAAAAAAAAAAAAGAGTCTTATTTACTTTTTCTCTCTTTTCTCTATAATATTGTTTTTTTAAGTGAGATACTGGATTTGGTCCCTAGCGCAATGATTTGATCATTCAAAAATTCTATGGTAAAGTGGCAAATTCCTTGAAGCTTTGTGTTCTCAAATGTAAGAACTTTACATGACAGAAAACTAAATATCTTATATGTTGGAGTCTGGGTTGGACAAAGCAACATATCTAAAGATGTTATCTACACTGAGAAAAGAAAACTGTTGTACAAACATAAAAAAACACACAAATTAAATACAGTTAACAACTTATAGTAATACGATTGTTTACTTTAAAGAAAATGATTAATTTCTGTGTTACTGAATGGAGTATTGTGTAGAGAGAGGTGAATGAGCATTTTAAATAGATGTAATAGATGTAATGAACATAAATGGCAGAATAATCAATAATAAAAGTAATTTTTAGGTGCTGCCTTGTGAAGTATCATAAAATCACAATACTGGTCTGTGAAGACAAAATGCAACTTCATATTTAGTCATGGTTCGACCAGAGTCGGACTTTTTGATGTTTAACTTTACTGTAAAATATATTTATATAATACCAAAGAAAAAAAACAGCATTAAAAATTCAAAAGAACTTGAAAACACGTTAGAAAAAACTGCAAATGAACAAGAAAGCAGAAGAAGTGTTTGATAGAAAGATATTGCGCTTTTCCTTTATATGGAATAAACATAGACTTAAGTTAATCACATGTTTCCTAGATTTTCTGAAATGTCTCTGATAATTATTATCAAGATCTATTAAACTGTTTCATGAAGAGCCTTCAAAATTCATTTCTTTCTTCATATACAAGGATCTTCCAATTCATCACAACATCCTCAAAAAGTGCAACACTTGCGTAAAAGTCCTTCTACCCCTGAACTAGAAGAATCCCATCGGCAGCCGTCTGAACACAGGTTATAACGAAAACGTGTCTGGAACCAAACCTTTCAAAATAAGAGAAGTGCTGACATGTTTCCTCCCCTGAGGGATGCACGTGGAGCCCTGCAGCTCCTCCTGTCCAGTCCTGAGACACAACACGAGACCAAATGATGAAATGAAATGAAATGAAATAGCTTGCCAAGGCCTCGGCCATCAGCACACGCTCACACACGCAAAAACAACACACGTGCACTCAGTTTTTCTTTTTTTGACCAAGTGTTAGGCTGTTTGTCATTCAGTTAAGGGAGTGGGGGGTTGTGTCCGGCGTACCGTTCTTTGAGTCAGGATGGAGAGGATGAGGACGGGGCATCCCACTCACCCTCTGCACGGCCGGAGACACTGCTGAGCTGCTGTCATGGCAACAGCAGCCACCACCGGCATGGGCCTACAATGCACAGGCCAGGAGGAGTCACACACACACACACACACACACACACACACACACACACACAC